GGCGGTCCAGTTTAGAGTCGAGGATTTGGGCTATTTCGAAATGTTCTTCTCCGTCGACTTCGACTGGAGGCGGTGGTGGTTGGATTCGGTTAGGAATGGTGTTTTCTTCTATGGGTTCCAATTGTGACACATGGAAGATGGGGTGAATGGACCGGAGATCCGGCAGAAGACTCAGGGTAAAGGAGTGGGTACCAGGTTGGGCTATGATTTCGAAAGGACCAAGGTATTTCTCCGAAAATTTTCTGGTTGGGCAGGTGGTTTTGATATGTTTGGAGCTGAGGTAGGCCTTGTCCCCTACTGTGAACGGAGGTGCCGGAATCCGATGTTTGTCTGCTTGGGTCTTGTAGCGAGACTGAGCTTCGGAAATTTCATCCTTCAGTAATTGATGGAGTTCGTCAAGGTTGACTGCGAAATCTCAGGCCCGGGCAGAGGCGATGTCCCTTTCAGGGTGAATGGTGATGTTGGGGTGGTAACCCTTGTTAGTGAAGAATGGGGAAATTCCGGTGGACATGTTAGGGGCATTATTGTAGGTGAATTCAGCAATGGGTAAGAGGGTGTCCCAGTTGTCCTGCTGGTAGGAGCAGTAGATGCAGATGTATTGTTCCAGAGTTTGGTTTGCTCGTTCAGTTTGGCCGTCGGCCTCCGGATGATAACCAGAGGTAAGGTGGAGTTCCATGTCAAGGGCCATGGCTAAGGTGCGAGTAAATTGGGAGACGAATTCGGAGCCACGGTCGGATGTGATGTGACTGGGTACCCCATGTTTAGAGAATACGTGGATAAGGAAAAGTTGGGTGAGCTCCTCGGAGTTGATGGTGTCATGAGTGGGAATGAAGATGGCTTGCTTGCTAGCTCGGTCTATGACTACTAAGATGGCGGTGAATCCATTGGAGTCCGGTAGTTGTTCAATGAAGTCCATGGAAATGGAATCCCATGGCCGTTCGGGAACTGGCAGAGGTTTCAGTAACCCATAGGGGCAGTGTCTGGGTGCCTTGTTGCACCCACAAACTGTGCAGGACTTAACATAGTGTCGGACATATTCACGCATCTTTGGCCAGGTGTAGTTCCGCCGGACTAGTTCTAATGTCTGGTTTTGACCAAAGTGACCTGCCAAGATGTGGTCATGATTGTTCTGTAGTATACGGAGACAGAGATCGTCGGAGTCTGGGATGTGGATGCAGCCTTCGAAGCGAAGGATGTTGGATTCATCAATGGACCATTGAGAGGGAGAGGATTTGGAGGCGGCCTTGGCCTGGCGGAGGCCGTCGGAGGACATAGCATCAGAGGATTGTGCTTGTCTGATATCGGTGTGGAGTTTATCGATATCCATGATGGCACTAGCCTGTAGGGTGGGGCCTTCGAGATAGGTTGCTCGGAGTGACGCGGAGAGTTGTTCTTGGGTGAACACGGGTCAGAAATTGT